GCTGGGCCCTGGCAGCTCAGGGCACCTTCCAAAGAATCTGCCCCGGGCAAATTCCTGACCCTGGAGAAGCTTTCTCTACGGGCCCCACAGAAGCCAGCTATGCATTTTTACTCTAATGCCGTCCATCTGCTGTTCTTCCTGCCCAGAACAGCTTCCCCCACTGAGGTTCGCTCCTCTCCATAACTCTGACCATTTCCTTCTACCTGGGGTTGCCTGCCATCTTAAAAACAGAGCTGTTGAACCAAAAAATACTTTACTCAGCTGCCTGTCAGGAATGCTGGGCAATGTCCAGAGGCCACGAAGAGTAACAGAGCAGCCTGCTTGCCGCCCTCTGCCTGCTCTCCTCCGCCCTTCTCAGGGCTGCCTGCCAGACTTCTTTGGCTAAATCTCCTCTAGCCCCTCCATGCACACTTCCCACTGCCTGTAGGATAAAGTCCGAACTCCTCAGCCCACCTTGCAGATCTTCACTGTTCAATCTCAACTCATTTTCCAGCTTCATCTTCCATCTGCCTCCACCCCATCCTGAACTCAATATTCTAGATATTCTAGATCGGAACTGTCCCATACAGTTGCCACCAGCCACCTGCGGCTGTTACATTTTTAATTAAAATTAGATTTTATTAAATTTTATTAAAATTAAAAATTCAGCTCCGGGCGCCTGGGTGGCTCAGTCGTTGGGCGTCTGCCTTCGGCTCAGGTCATGATCCCAGAGTCCTGGGATCGAGCCCCGCATCGGGCTCCCTGCTCAGCGGGAAGCCTGCTTCTCCCTCTCCCACTCCCCCTGCTTGTGTTCCTTCTCTCACTGTGTCTCTCTCTGTCAAATAAATAAATAAAATCTTTAAAAAAGTCTTAAAAAAAATAAAAATTCAGCTCCTAACTGCAAGTGCGAAATAGCCACAGGTGGCTAGTGGTTACGTATGGGTCAGTGCAGCTCTACAGCGTTCCCATCATTGCAGAAAATTCCATTCAGACAGCACTGTGTTAGACAATAAGATCCACTCAGGATTTCCTAAAAACTCTTTATTATACAATTTACATACAAGTACATGCTCATTGCTAATTTCCTAACACTACAAGAATCTCTTTTTATTTTTATTTTTTAAAGATTTTATTTATTTGACAGAGAGAGACACAGCGAGAGAGGGAACACAAGCAGGGGGAGTGGGAGAGGGAGAAGCAGGCTTCCCGCCGAGCAGGGAGCCCGATGCGGGGCTCGATCCCAGGACCCTGGGATCATGACCTGAGCCGAAGGCAGACGCTTAATGACTGAGCCACCCAGGCGCCCCTTTTTTATTTTTTTAAAGATTTTATTTATTTATTTGACAGAGAGAGAGAGAGCACAAGCAAAGGGAGCTGCAGGCAGAGGGAAAGGGAGAAGCAGGCTCCTCGCTGAGCAGGGAGCCTGATGCAGGACTTGATCCCAGGACTCAGGGATCACGACCTGAGCTGAAGGCAGACGCTTAACGACTGAGCCACCCAGGCGCCCCTACAAGAATCTCTTTTACCAATTCTAGACCTCTCCCTAGAGATAGCCACCAAAATCAGTTTGGTATATATTCTCCGAATTTTTTGTGTGTTCTGGATTTTGGTTTTTTTTTCATCCAACAGGGTCTTGGAGCTCTTCATATAAGAACACATCTTGGGGCGCCTGGGTGGCGCCATTGGTTAGGCATCCCACTCTTGGTTTTGGCTCAGGTCACGATCTCATAGTTGTGAGATCAAGCCCGGAGTTGGGCTTTGTGCTCAGCCTCTGCCCCTCCCCCTGCGCGCTCTCTAATAAATAAATAAATCTAAAAAACCAAAAAACAAAAAACATCTCCATCTACCTTGTGCTTCAGGTGCTGTAGAGTTTAGCCATGGCATGAATGAATTCTAGGTTATTCAACTATTTTTTTTTTCTCTCCAGCACTTTGGTGTTTATCGTTATTTCCAAATCTCTGGTGTATATACAGGATTTTTTAAGTGGCTGACGTGGCCGGTGGGCCACTCTGAGGGGCAGGGCTTGGGCCCCACCACCCTGTCCCCGGAGGGAGTCCCTGGGCCGGGGCCTCTCAGCACCGTCTGACCTATGCACTTTGGTGACCGGCCAGCCATCAGCCTCTTGATGGACATTTGCTTCCAGTTTTCCCTTACTGCAAACAAATACTACATGCAAACATCCTTGTACCTTTTTCTGCACTTCTACACATGTTTGTCTAGGGTAGATTCCAAAAAGTGAAATTGCTGGATCACCAAGTCATATGCTAACACCTCTGGGGCTTGGCACACCCTGGTGCTCCTGCCTACAATGCCTCTTCACATGACTAATTCCTGCTCATCAAGCCCAATCAAGTGTCATCACCTGGTGAAAGGTGGTCTATTCTGGCTCTGTTTTTCCAAAGTACTTCCTACCCACACTGTATTAGCCTACACCTAAGACTATGCCTTATTTATCTTGTATTCTCAATACCTAGAAGAGGGCTTAGCATAGAACAAAAATTCAAATGATTTCTCCACTGGATGACTGAATGAATAAATAAACAAATAAAGGTACAGTGCTTAGGACATTCCAGAAACTCAAGGTGAGAGAGTCTGTGAGTGTTGTGAACTTAGGCGTTGGACCAATCTGCCACTGGTGCCCTGAGCCAGGCTGCCTCTCTCGGTTTCTGTCTATCCAGCCTCTGACCCCGGGCATCTCATTTTGAACTCCGTTTAAGTTCAGTATTTCGAGGATAGAGCTGCATGAGTATTCAGGGGCTCTCTGGCCGCAGAGCATAGAAATCTGAGCCCCTAGGGACAGCAGGGGGTTGGTGTTCCAAAGGCAGCTCTGTCTCCTTTCACCTTTGAAGCGGCTCCGTATGCTCTGGGTTTTAGTTTATTTTTTCTCCCTACAGTACCTTAGGGGCAATTAAAATCAGCTGCAATATTTTTGCTTTCTGCCTCCTGATTGGAATCTAAGAGAAGCCAGATGCTTTCCAGTCCATATCCCCTTCTCCTTGTGATCTGAGGAATAGCCCTCTTTTCTGAATCTCTCTCTGGCCTGGCTTTCCCAGATGCCAGTCTGGCTTGCAGCCTTTATTTTTAATGGGGTTTTAATAGGTGGTTCCTGCAATTAATTTCATTCTTGTGTTTTCACACTTTCTGTCTAGGTGCCTAATGGCCCCCAGGCACTAGGTGGGATGTTAACTGACTTAAAATAATACAGGACAGTATAGCTGTCATTATAGATTAGCCCAGCTCCTCTCATTTACAGCTTTCACAATCAGTAATTAGCTGGGGCACACGGTCCATTTGGGAGGTCAGCCGGGTCACCTGTCATGTTTCATAGAGGTAGAAACAGAAATATGGAAAAAAAAAAAAGTGACTTTTTCATGCCCCAACAGAGACTGGGTGTTGAAACTGGTTTCAGAAGCCACATCCTGCTGGGTACACACCCAGTGAGCGCCAAGGCCAGGATCCACTGCTCAGGTTGGATTTGCCAAACGCGCTGCGTCCTGGATGCCCACAGTTTCACCCTCCCACTAGGGCTGTGGAGCAGCTCAGTCCTCAGCAGCTAATGCTACCACCTGAAATTACCCTCATTCATTCTCTTCAGGGCCCTTTTCCATTTTATGAGCGAATTTATCTGCATAAAGAACGCATCAGCGGTTCCTCTCGGATTCAGAAAAATACTTTTGCTATTTTTAAAGCTGCAATTTAAAAATCCGCGCACACGCACTCACACTCCTCAGGGAGTGGTGGTGGGGCGGGGAGTGAGGCAGAAGAGTACGTGCTGGAGAGAGAACGGCTTGGCCTTTGGCTTCCCAAAGCGCAACGCCGTCCCCCTGGGGGTGCACTCCTCTGAGCCCGCTGGGGCTCTGCAATCCCCAGCGAATTTGCGCCATCAGGACCCTCTGAGCGCCCGGGGCGTTGGACCCTGCTAACCCGCCTCCCCTCTCTCCTGCCAGGCGGAGGGCTCGGTCGTCGGGTCCCCCGGCCCAGGAGGGATCGGGAGGGACGGAGAGGCCAAGCAGGTGGCGATTAGGTCAGCCTCGGAACATTCTTGGACCGCTCCAGTGGATATAAATAACAGACAGGCAGGCTGCGAAAAATCCCAGGGTGGGGGCAAAGAGGGTGAGAGAGAAGGGACTTATTGAGGGTGGGGTGGCAGCGTGGCGATCTGGAAAAAATCTACCAAAGCTGGTGACTGACAAGGGGTGGGGGTGGAGGGGCAAAGGGATTTAAGAATGAATCGTGGTACAGAATCTGGGACTAAGAACACGGAGGGGGAGGAGCGCATGCCTTTTTGCCCCACCCCCACCGCGTGTACAACGCAGTCCTCAGATTGGCAGGCAGGGCTGTGCATGGAAAGGGCACGGCTTTGGAATCCGGGTCTTGCCCGACTACGGATCTTTTGCAAGCTGCTGAAGGTCTCCCGGCCTCAGTTTCCGCATCTGTACAATGGGAATCCTAATGCTTCAAAGGGGGTGGTTGTGAGCCTCGCCGGAACTAACTTATAAGAAAGGCGTGCTCAGCAAAGAAATGTTAAGGCAGTGTAGCCCCCAGCCCTCCCTCCAAGGGGTACCCGGGCAGGCCCAACCCCTTCCCGCTTCCACGGGTCTCCCAGGCTCTGCAAAGGCCGGGAGGGGCAAAGCCGAAATCCGACTCCCTTGAGCCGCGCGGCGCCACCCCGCGGAGCGGGCGCCGGCGCTTCTCGCGTTGCAGCCGATGCCCCACGGCCGCGCTCCGGGAGCCGCGGGTCGCCGCGATGCCTGCAGCCCCTGCGCCCCGGCCTCTGGCCGGTGGGGTTGGGGCCGCGGCCTCGAGGAGAGGGCGGGGCCGGGGGCCGGGCTTCCCGGGGGAGGGCCCGGCGCGCTCCGGGAGGCGGTGGCCCCGGCCCGGGCGCGGCAGGACTCCGGCCGGAGCGTGGCCGGACCCCCACCCGCCCAGACGCCCAGGAAGGACGCGGTGAGTGCTGCCCCGGCGGGAACCGCGGGGAGGCGGCGGCGGGAGCGGCGAATCGATCCCGCCCTCTCCTCCGGCTCCTGAAGTTTGCAATGGGACCGACTCCCGCCCTGGGAGCCCCCACTCTGCGCGAGGACGGGAAGAGCGCCGCCGAGCCGAGGGGGTGTCTCATCTGCGGCGCGGCGCACCCCGCGATTTCCCAGGCCGGCGGAGGAGAGGGCGGCATCGCGGCTGGAGGGCCACACCATGTCCTAGGGCTCCTCAAAGGCCCCCAAACGCCCCGGGGACCCCTCGCTCTTTGCAAAGAGCCCTAATTCCTGGGCCGCTGCCCCGGGTCACCTTCTGGAGTCCACGGCCGGGCTGGCCCAGGCAGGGTGCGCCCCCTCCCCTCAGCGGTGATCTGCTGGCCCCACCCCCGCCGAGACCAAGTTCAACAAGTTTGGCAAAGAAGTCCCAGAGCCTCCATGGCTGGGCCCGGCCCGGCCGCTCCGCGTGGGCTCCACCGGCTCCGAGTGGTGCAGCTCCGGGCCGGCAGGCGGGCCGGTCGAAGGGCGCCGTCCATAAGGGCTGAGGCCATATACACGGGCAGCCACTGGGCTCCGAGGGTTGGTGTAGAGGCTCCGGGTTTGGAGTGCGTCATCAGGGAGCAGGCACCTCGGGCGGCAGGTCGGGTTTCCAAAAGTGCCCCTTTGTTATGCCCCTCCCTGGCCCTGCCTCCTCCCCTTTCCCTGCGCCACCCCTTCCCCCACCCTCCGGGGCGGCTCTAGCTGCTGGTTCCAGCCACTCTAGCCTAGGCACCCCTCTCTGGACCAGTGGGCCGCCCACCACTGTGCCTCCACATCCTAGGGCTGCGGCCGCCCGGGAGGCGCTGCTGCAGGAGGCCTTGGGCGCAGCCTGTGACTCAGGGGGACGGGCGGGGCAGGACGGCCGTGCTCCCTCCCGGGGGCCTGCCCCCAGCTTCTGGGAAGGTGGGGGCTGGTCTGCGCGGAGGTGGGGGTGGGGGGACCTACCTGCCTTAGGTAGGGAGAGTGGGTTCTTCCCCGAGTCTCAGCACTTCCTACCTTGGCCCCGGCGGCTCTGAGGAGACCGTGCCAAGCGCCCTCGCAGACTTCTGCCCGCCCAGTAGGTCGTGGCTACCTGGGCTGGAAGCATTCATTATCTGCCTTCAGAGCTCTTGCCGGTGGCCGAGTGTGTTCTGGGGACCAGTCTGGGTCTCTGCTGAAGTCAGGAGGCTCGGGGTGCCCCTCATGGCACGCAGGGCCCACCCCCATAGCTAGATGCAGCCAGGGCTGTGGGGCCTGGCTGTGCCTGGGACTCGGGCTTGTGTTTGCTCTGGGAGGCGGGAGGGAGCAGTGCCAGCCCTGCACACACAGCTTGCTCTGTTCTGGGGCCAGAGAGAGGGAACGGGTGGGGGGCAGGTCTCCCGGGAGCCTGGAGGCTGGAGCAGGCAGGGGGCCCAGGCCCCTGGATGCCTGACTGGGACTGCTCCGAAGGCCCTGTGATTTACAGCTGCGGCTCTGTTTCTCTCCATCTGGTTGGCAAGTCCTTTCTGGGTAAATGGGGCAGGCTCAAGAAGAAGCAAGGGGAAGTGCTGAGGACCCCGGTGGGCCAGCCACTCTGTCCCTCTCCTGCTCTGTACCCAGGCCGCAGGGCTGCACGCCTCAGCTCTCTCTCCTGTTAGCTTAGGGCTGGATTCCACCTAGGCCAAGCTTTCTCACAGCTGCTGTAGCCAGCAGGTTTCCTGGTCCTTTTCCTGTTTCTTCATTCAGCTACCAGCTCCAGTGCCCAAAGAAATCCGCAAATTGGACCCCCTCTGTCAATGACTGGGGACAGATCCTCTCCTGTCAGTGACGATCCGATGGAATATATAATATATAGCCTGACGGAGGGCTCACAAGGGGCTGCGTGAATGGGGGTAGAGCAGTGGGGTCCGGGAGACTGGAGTTTTGAAGGATGGATAGTGGCTTGTCAGTTTGGAGGGGAGCAGTGTGATAGAGCCCTGCTTTGGGGGCAGTGGGCACCTACTCTGTCCCCGTGGGCCTGGCGGTGTCCCTTGGGCTTGCTCAGAGGAGGAAGCGGTTTCCTTCTAGGGGCTTAAGTCAGTGCTGGGGACAGCTGAGCCACTGCCAAGAGGCAGGAGGGGAGTGGCCGCGTGCCACTGTGTCCTCTAGCCTCTGGGGTGGTGGCTCTGGGGTTGGAATCCACCTTGCCCTCCTCTACGGTTCTGGTGCACACTCTTAGAATGGCTGATGGCCTCTCGGCATCCCCATGCTGCCCCAGACTCTGGGCTTTTTGAGGGCGGGGCTGAGTTGTTCATTACCCAGGGAGGCTTGTGGGACCTCAGTGGATGCTGTGGAAGACGATGAATGTCCCTTGTGACTGTCAGGCCCCTCACATTTCTTGCTCATTGCCTGTGAGTCTGAGACCAGCCCTGGCACGGAAGACCAGGAGGCAGAATTTCTACCTCACCAGGGCAGTAAAATGCACTTGTTCAGCTTCTTGGCCAAGATCAGACTCAGGCTTCCTGGCTCCCAGTCTGCTCTTGCGGGCAAAGGGAGTCACTGGAGTGTGGTCGGGCGCCCTCCGACTTGGCCTGGTCTGGTAAAGGGTCATCTTGTTGTTCAGGGGAAGGTAACAGGGCCTGGCGTGGGCAGGTATCCTCCGCTCTGATCTGTAGTGGGGAAGGGGGGCAGCGGGGCCCTATGCCCACCACCCACCCCCGCCTGCCACCTAATCCCCAGTTGGATCGTGTGACCTGCCTGGCATTCTCCTGGCTGGAATCTGGCGCTTCTGACAGCAGTTGCTATATCGGGGGAGCCGGGCACCGCCCTGGACGCTCTAGGTCCCTGCCCTCACCCCCTGCCTTGCTTTTGTTAGCTTCAAGGCAGAATCACAGTGGCAGCTTTGAGAGTTGGACATCCAGGTCCCTGAAGTGATCTCTAGGCCCCAGGTAGGTGGAATGAGGCTGGGTGGGGGAGGGGGTGGGCAGATTCAGGGCCCAATGGCCATCCTTTCTCCTATCCCAGCCCCTCCTGGGACCTTCCAGACCCCCACCTCCTAGCTCTGACAGTTCCTTGGATGGTAGGGATAGCCATGGGGACAAAGTCCAGGGATAGGAGAGGATCTTTTTCTCTCCCCAACAGTGTATTATCTGGCTTCCCTGCTTGCCCCTCTGCCCTCCACAGCCCCCATCCGCCACCATTCCGTGCTGCGGGGACACCATGGCTCCAGAGGAAGACGCTGGAGGGGAGGCCCTGGAGGGCAGTTTCTGGGAGGTGAGCAGCTGGGTCCTAGGTTTGGTGGTGGCACTGAAATGCACTCCCCCCCCGCCCCCACGGGCCCAGCCACATGTCCACCGGAGGAGCTGAGCTGTCAGCCCCAGCCCTGGAGGGGGCTTCTCCCCGGTGACACCACCTTTCTCCTGTCTGCCCCAGGCTGGCAACTATAGGCGGACCGTGCAGCGGGTGGAGGACGGGCATCGACTCTGCGGGGACCTGGTCAGCTGCTTCCAGGAACGAGCCCGCATTGAGAAGGCCTACGCCCAGCAGCTGGCTGATTGGGCCCGCAAGTGGAGGGGCACCGTGGAAAAGGGTGAGCCAGCGCTCGGGCCTTGCTGGCAGCAGAGGCCGCTGAGGGTGGGGAGATCAGGCGAGGCAGCTTCTTTTTTGTACCTCTTACGAGAAGTTTGAGGAAGTTTGAGGATTCGGCGTATGCCTTCCCTTTGAAGAGGGAAGAGCTTCCTGGTTATTCTTAACAGTTGTTAAGAATAATCTAGCTGTTAAGAGTTTGCAAAGTATGGTCGTGAGTTACTTTGATGTTTCTAACAGCCCTGTGGTGGAGATGGTCCTGTTCTACCCATTTTCTAGAGGAGAATCCAGAAATTCAGAGAGGCTAGGCAACTTGCCTGAAGTCATACAGCTAGGGAGAGCTGAACCTCGAATCTAGGCCTTCTGACTCGGGAGCTAGGGATCTTTCCATCCTAACAAGCTTGTTCTTCCCTCTGAGGCAATAGAGTGTAGTGGTTGATGCCGCAGAGTTGGGTTTGAACCTCAGCTGCAATGTTTTGGGCAGTTAACTTGCGGCTGTAATGCTTTGGGTGATTAGTTCACTTTCCTGGGCTACTGTTGTTCACCTGTTAAATGTTGATCGTGACTCTGTTTTCATGGTGGTGGGTAAGGATTCGGTGAGATCGCGTATATCCCTAAGTAGCCGCTGACCTCTTTGTTGTTCACCTTTGCATCCCCCGCTGCGGGCCTGGCACCCAGGGCAGGCCCCTGGGGTGAGGGGGGTGGGCTCATTTCTGGCGGCGTCCCTGGCCGGGTCCCAGCCCAGCCCTTCCCTGCAGGCCCCCAGTACGGCACGCTGGAGAAGGCCTGGCACGCCTTCTTCACGGCAGCCGAGAGGCTGAGCGCGCTGCACCTGGAGGTGCGGGAGAAGCTGCAGGGGCAGGACAGCGAGCGGGTGCGCGCCTGGCAGCGGGGGGCCTTCCACCGGCCTGTGCTGGGTGGCTTCCGCGAGAGCCGGGCTGCGGAGGATGGCTTCCGCAAGGCCCAGAAGCCCTGGCTCAAGAGGCTGAAGGAGGTGAGCCTGGGAGGGATGGGTCCCTTCCCGAATCCGCCCCGGGGCTGGAGGGGCCGGGGCTTGGCATTGCAGGGTCTCCGGATTTGTCCCCGTGCGTGCCAGGTTGAGGCTTCCAAGAAGAGCTACCATGCAGCACGGAAGGAGGAGAAGACAGCCCAGACTCGGGAGAGCCACGCAAAGGCGGACAGCGCCGTCTCCCAAGAGCAGCGGCGCAAGCTGCAGGAGCGGGTGGACCGCTGCACCAAGGAGGCCGAGAAGGTACCGGCGCGGGGCACGCCTCTCCCAGGCCCCGAACTCAACGCTCTCGTGCGCGTGGGCCACCCGCTGTCCAGATCATCACTTAAAAGAGGAGCCAGAGAAAAGCTGATGCTTTACCCAGGGCAAGAAACGGTTCAGTTTCAGGCGTTGGGAGCATCTTAGCAGTTGAGGGGACCGTCCAGCTCCTTTCCTTCCGCTGTGTCTCCTCCCCTCCCCCCCCACAAGCTCTCACGTTGCCTGCTCTACCAGAGCGCCCTGTCCTCCAGCTCTATCTGCTGCTCAGTTTCTACCTCCTCCAGGAAGCCTGTCCTGATTTCTCCCTCCCCGTTCCTCGAGGTTGACCTCATCTCACCCCCCCATCTTCGCTCACCAGACTCTGAAAGTGGCTGTGCCCAATGTCCCCTCCCCTGTTCGGCTGCTGGGGTCTTGGAGGGCTGGGGCTGTGGCCTGATTGCCGCAGGTGCCTGGTCTGAGGTCTCCCCGCGGCCCCCCCGCCCGCTGGCGCTCTGTAAATACTAGTGGAGTCCTGAGTGGAAGAAGGTCTGGTCCTCACCAGGCCCCTCCTCTCCCACCCAGATGAAAACCCACTACGAGCAGACGTTGGCGGAACTGCATCGCTACACCCCGCGCTACATGGAAGACATGGAGCAGGCCTTCGAGAGCTGCCAGGCGGCCGAGCGCCAGCGGCTCCTCTTCTTCAAGGATATGCTGCTTACCCTACACCAGCACCTCGACCTCTCCAGCAGCGAGAGGTATGGCCTGCGAGCTGGGCATGGAGGCCTAGGGGTAATGCTGGGTCTGCTCCATCTCCCTCGGGCTCTGGCCAGGCGGAATGAGTTTGGGGGGGCCGGTACTGGGGCCCAGGGCTCCCCAGGTTGAGGTTGTGCCTTGGGCCACAGGTTCCACGAACTCCACCGAGACCTGCATCAGGGCATCGAGGCAGCCAGTGACGAAGAGGATCTGCGCTGGTGGCGAAGCATCCACGGGCCAGGCATGGCCATGAACTGGCCGCAGTTTGAGGTCCGCATTCTGGGCTGGCTGGGACTGGGAGGGGCGGTGGGCTCAGCCTGGACCGCAGGAGGGAGGCTAGGGCTTGGGATGAGGGCTGCCACCACAGCAGCCCAGCCTGACCCTAAGCACTGTCCCCACAGGAGTGGTCCTTGGATACGCAGAGGACAATTAGCAGGAAGGAGAAGGGTGGCCGGAGCCCTGATGAGGTTACTCTGACCAGCATCGTGCCCACAAGAGATGGCGCTGCACCCCCACCCCAGTCCCCGGGGTCCCCAGGGTGAGAGCCAGAAACCTGGCTGTGGGAAGGAAATAGCTCTGCCCCCTGCCCTGCCCTCTTTCCCTCTGTCTCCTTCTCTTCATTCCCTCACACCTGAAGTGGTTGACAGTTGGTGCCAGGAACCTTAGGACTTACTTAGTAGTTGTCATGATGCCAGTGTTCACGGTGGTTTAGCTTTGCCAGGCGGTTCCCACGTTCGCGCTCATCTACTGCTCACGTCGGCCCTGGGTGGCAGGAAGCGCGCCAAGCTCACAAGCATGTGTGGCAGAGGTCAGACTAGGATCTTTCAGTTCTTTCCCACCTGCCTCTCCCAGGGTTCTTCCAGAGGGCGAGCCCTTGGCCCTGGGTCCTAGGCTCTCTTGCTCAAGGCGGTCTTGTGCCCTGAGCCTGCCGCCTTCTGTCTCCCCTCTCTAGCGGTGGGCAAGATGAGGAGTGGTCAGATGAGGAGAATCCCCGGAAGGCTGCCACTGGGGTGCGGGTGCGGGCGCTCTATGACTACGCCGGCCAGGAAGCTGATGAGCTGAGCTTCCGAGCAGGTACCCAGGGACGCCTTTTCTGTTCCTTTCCAGCCTTCCGCTACCCCCTCCCCTCCTTTACAACCTGAGCAGGGGTGTGGAAAAGGGAAGCCTGATGCCTGCTTCCCAAGGGCCAGTTGTGTGATTCTGAAAGGCTGCTCTGGGTCCAGCCCCCAGGAGTCAAGAGTGCCTGCTCTGAGCCCGCACCTCCCTCTCAAAGTCACCAGCTGGGGCCTGCTTGATGCCTTCAGGGTCTGGGGTGGGGTGGCTTGCGGACTTTGACCTCTCTTTGCCTGAGGCATGTCTCTTCTTGGGGCTGGGTTCTCCTACTACCTCCTCCCCCTCAGTCCTTGACCCAGTTGCAGGATTGGGGCTGGGCCAGGGCAATGGGTAGTGAGGAATCCCCTTTCCCCCAGGGGAGGAGCTGCTGAAGATGAGCGAGGAGGATGAGCAGGGCTGGTGCCAGGGCCAGCTGCAGAGTGGCCGCATTGGTCTGTACCCTGCCAATTACGTGGAATGTGTGGGGGCCTGACCTCCTGTGACAGCCCTTCTGCAGCGTTTCTCCACCTTGCATCAGAGCCCAGCTTCTCTTGGACTGCCGGACCTGAGGGCCCTGGACCATGGTGCCCCTGCTGCCCTTCTGTCCATTGAGGAGGAAGGAAGTCCTGGGACCCGGGGAGGGGATCCGCCTGCATCTAGGAAGGGACTGGTAGGGAAGGGCCAACTGAGTCTAGGCTGAGGGGGTAGATGGGGAGGTCAGGTGACGACAGAAGGGCTCAGGGGTGCCTGGGCCTCTCCAGGAATGGGTGGGTCTCCCCGGGAGCTGTGGACCCAGTTCCTGGTCTTAGTGTTTTGGGGTTCCTGGGGTGGTCTTGGGGTGAGTGTAGTTCTGGGCTAGCAGCACTCTCTTGTGGTTTGTTCTAGTGTGTATTAAACTTGGGGAAAAAAAAAAAGCCACTGTCAGACGTGTGTGCATCTTTTCTGATACTCCACCCTTGCCAGGCTGCAGAGAGCATCTGGGGAGAGGCACTGAGTGGGAGGTCTGTGGGCCTAGAGTTTGTTATGGGCAAAGGTTTGGCAGCTTGGTATCTGCTCTGGCTAGTATCTCCTTTGAGGACCTTAATCTGGGGTGGGAGGTACTCAAGATTGGGCTTGGTGTGAGCCCGCCAAGTTGGAGGCTGGGTATTGAGTTCTGGGCTGGACGGGAGCCCAGCCAGTTTGTCTTCCCGTTCAGGCCGGTGGGACCGTGAGTGCTGGGTAGAACTGTTAATCATTACTCATGCATCGGGAACTGGCCCCAGCTGAGGCCCCCCGCCACCGGCCCCCAGCCTCGCAGCCCTCACGTTCCGGGAGATCGCCCCACCTGCCGGGGGTGGCGGGGCGTCCGGGTGGCGCTCGCGCGAGGTCTGGGTCGCCGGTGAGCCGTTGCTCCGCCCTGGCTGCGGGTTGGCCCCAGCGTGGCGCGGCGTGGGTCCCGCGACCGTTGTAGAGTCCCGGGCTGCCGCCGTCTCCGCTCCGGTTGCGCAGGCCGCTCATTGGTCCAGATCCGGACGAATCGCCCCACCCCCGGCTGGCGAGGGCGCTGCTGGCGCCGCGCCGGTGCCCCGCCTTCCCGGCCGCGGATTGGCCCGCGACGGGACCCGTTGGTCGCGCTGGTGTCTGGGAAGGAGAGAAAATGGCGGCGGAACCAAGCAAGACCGAAATCCAGACTCTTTTCAAGCGGCTTCGCGGGATTCCGACCAACAAGGTGTGCGAGCGGGAGGCGCGCGGGGTCCGGCGCTGGCGGAGAGGGAGTCTCCCGTCTCCCCTGGGGCCTGAGGGAGGGAGAGGGGCGGACGTGGGCTGTTTCCCTGGCGTGTCTGCGCCCGGCCTCGACTCGGGGGCCCCTGACCATTGGCTCATCGCCTCCTCCACCCAGGCCTGCTTCGACTGTGGCGCCAAGAATCCGAGTTGGGCCAGCATCACGTATGGTGTTTTCTTGTGCATTGACTGTTCTGGGGTGCACCGCTCCCTGGGCGTCCATCTCAGCTTCATCAGGTGGGGTCTTCTTGCGGCTGCTGTGCTTCTACCCGGCCGGCCGGGGCTGTGGGCTCAGCAAGGGAGAGGGGCTGCCTCGATTGGACCGCTTGGCCGGGGAGGGGTCCGGTGGCCGCCCACGGGAGGGAGCCGCCTGTGTGGGCCCCTTGCCAGTAGGCGGTTTGTGTCCGCGTATAGGTTAAAATTTCCTTCTTTCCTGTGGGTTAAACTTGACACTCCGAGTATTAGTTTTGGGGAAAAGTTAGCTGCATTGACCTTGTTGCTGATCTGTTGGTCGAGTATGTCTGGAGTGAGACTATGACCGTCCTTAAGGGGAAAGCCAAATCCAAGTTTGAGTGCTTGAGAATTAGACCTCCTTTCGGATCTGGACAATAATTAGTGCTCTTTCGACTAGATAATTGAAGAGCAAACCTTTCACGGACGAGGTAGAGTGGAGGAAATAGGGTGGTGGCTGATTAATGTTTCCTGGGCGCCTACTGCAGCCTGAGGCCAAATGACAGGTATGGGTCTGCCAGGGAAGCGTCTTCTGGTATCTGCTGGTGGGTGACATGCAGCCCTTGCACACAGGTCCACAGAGTTGGATTCCAATTGGAACTGGTTCCAGCTGAGGTGTATGCAGGTCGGCGGAAATGCCAATGCGGTAAAGCTCCTTCTTACCATCCTCCCCACCCCCATCCTTCTGCTTGGGTACTAACTTTACAGTGTCTTCCTAGGAGGCTCTGTCATTATCTCTTTTCAGAGGATTTTCTGGTCTATAGTAACAGTGTCCACTATTCTCTAAACTTGGAAATTGTTTTTTCTCAAATGGACTTCAGATTCAAACTAAATTGGACAGGTGTTCTTCGGGAGAGGCTAAAGGAGTTGGGGCCTCCACAGTCATCCAGATCTCGTGAGCCTGGATGAAGGATGGGCACCGTGGGGATGGCATGCTGTCTTCAGGCAGGGTTGAGTGAGGGCTGAGGTTCAGTCGGTCATCTCAGAGGATGGGAGGCCTTTTATTTGCAGGCGTTTCTGGGGATCTTTACCTCTGTGAAAAACTGCTGATGTCAGTAGGGTGTATTCATCATGTATAAATAATAACCGGTTGTTACAAGGGGGTGCCTCTTTGGCTCTGGGGAATCACCTGTAGCATGCTCTCTTCTCTTCCTTGCTCTCCAGACAGCTTTCTTCCGCCAACATGGATGTACAGCCAGTGATGCCAACACCAAATACAATAGCCGAGCTGCCCAGATGTACCGGGAAAAGATCCGGCAGCTGGGGAGTGCAGCCCTGGCTAGGCATGGCACTGATGTAAGTGCCTGTTCCCCGGGGCGAGGGGAGTGGGGTGAGTGGGGAATATTCAGAGCCCTGTGTTTCAGGGGTGTCTTCTTCCTTCTAGCTTTGGATAGACAATATGAGTAGTGCTCCCAGTCACTCCCCAGAGAAGAAGGACTCTGATTTCTTCACGGAACACACTCAAGTGAGTACCCACAAGGAATGTTTCACATGATTGTTGCTGGCAGGTGGCTTACTTACCAGGCCAAGGCCTTTTGTGATCATGTGGCATGGAGTCCATTCACCTTGGGATGAGACCTCAGCCAGAGAATGTCTGCAGCTCACTGCTGCGTAGGCCCAGATGTTTCTTCCTCTTATGAGTAGGTGTGCAATGTGGCCCTCCTTAGGAATGGACCCCTATAAACTGGGATAGTAGGGAGGAGGAGAAGCTTCTTGAGAGCTCAAGAAGTGTCTGGAGCTCCAGACAGCATTTCCTGGATTCTTTCCCCATAAGGAAGGTACTGTGATTGGGGACAAGGAAGGGATTTCCTCCCCAGCAACCCACCCCTGGCAGAAGGTTTCCTGTCTACCGGCACTGGGTGCTGAAGTCAGACTCTTAGTCTGAATTCCTGCTCCTTCCCTTAGCATTTCTAGGATGGTGGCTAAGTCATGTAACCTGTTAAAACCTGCGTCTCTGAAAGAGCTACATCTACCTCATAGGGTTTGTCATGATCATTAAGTGTATTTATATGTGAAAAGCCTTTAGACTTGTGCTTGGCAGGTGGTAAGTGCCCAATAGTTGTTAGTTGTTGTGAAATTAGGGGAATGAGCTCTGACTCTTAAGTAAGTAGCGGAGGGTGGAGGTGGCTGCGAATTTCCTGTTTTGTTCTTCCATCATCAGTAGCAGCTATACTTTTACTCACTAGTCTCCGGTCTTCTTTTCTCCTGGGCTTGGAGGAGGGCCTCATACCTACAAGGTACCTGTAGTTTCTTGGCACTCCTTGCCAGGAGGAGTGGCTCATCCAAGCTTCTGTAATCTGGCTTCTTTTTCAGCCCCCTGCCTGGAAAGAACCAGACCCCAACCCAGCAGAGACCCAGCAGCTAGCCCCTTCTACAGAGATCAGTAGCCTGGCACGTGAGTTCAGTCCAGATTTCAACCGGGTGTCCTGGTATTGGCAGAGGACTTGGGGCTAGGAAGGGGACACTTTCCTATATTTTTCAGTGGGCTAGGATTCATTTTAGTCTCTTGGAGGAAGTGGTGGGCATTCCTTTTATCTTTCGGTGCCCTCAGCAAGCTGAAGAAAGCCAGTCCTCCCTATTCTTATCCTATCACTTCCCTTACGGGGAAGTCACTGCAAGCTCTGTGCCTTATACCTAACTCCCACCATTGCATCCACAGAGCCGGAGCACGGCCCCAACATGGACCTGCTTGGCACCTCACCCAAAGCCTCTCTGGGTCAGTATGCCACCTGGCAGATACAGGGTGACTGGGAGAGGGTGCGCCTCCAGCGTTCTTTTCAGGTCTGCTCTTACCTAGTCATGTGGACTGAGGCCATGAGATTGAGCATCTGATCTCTCTGGAGTGGGGACTGGGATTGGGTTTGTGGCTGCAGCATGAGCTGCAAGGACTTCAGAACCAGGCCCTTTGAGTTGATAAACCTGGTAGCTGGTGGACAAGGCCTGGGGTCTGCCTCTGAATGTGGAGCTGGGTCTAGCCAAAGTGTGGGGAGGCCAGTATGAGACTGGACACCTAACCCTGGAGTCTGGGGCAAGATTGGCCTGTCTGGTCCATTTCATGGGATGGGGGTGCAGCTCTCACAGCTGGAGGCAACACTGTTCTTTCTCAGCCTGTGGCCTTTCAGTTCTTTTTTTTTTTTTTTTTTTGATTTTCCTTAGTGTTCTTTAGTCTTGGTTCAGCATTAGAACAGTCTGTTGGCTGACCTCGGTGGTTCTGTTGACCCTTGGGGGCTGGGGCGGGAGGCTAGCAGAATGACTAAAACTGAGCCCATGCAAAGGCTGGTATGGCTTGGTCTAAAGTGAGGCTCTCTAGAGGCCTCTGGGAATAACTTTGGCCTCTGGGCTTGGGAGTTATATGGAGGCTCTGGGGTGGGCCCCTTGTTAGCCATGTCTTTCTCTTTAGAGTCCATGCGTCTGTCACCTAAAGGGGCCCTTCCTGCCAGAGGTAACCAGAAGCTGCTTGGGGAGCCCAGCGCCTTGCATGGCAGCTCCCTGCTGTAGGAGCTGAGGCTGGTATTTAATACCTGCCCCTTGCCTAGTAGTCTTCGTGTTGGTTCAGGGACTGTGACAGTCTCTGGTGCTTTGGGTCTAGGTTCTTGTCTCAGTCTGCTGGGAGTCAGGAGCCTCACCTAACCTTGTCTGTCTTTGGCTTGGACTCTGCTGATGCGATCTGTTGGGACTGGTGGGTGGCAGCCTTGCCTTCCTCTGTCTGAAGCTGTTCTTTGTGGAAGCTCTTGCCAAGAAGCTGCATGAGACGGACTGAGCCACCGCCTCTGACCTCCCTTTGTCTTCACTCCTGCCCCATCTTCTTTCTCACACAGAACCGAGAACCTCCCTCATTGGCAAGAAGAAGCCAGCAGCAGCTAAGAAAGGGGTAGGCGAGAGAGGCAGTGTGGTGGTGGTTAGGAGCTGGTGTCAGACCCAGCCTGGATGCACCCCTTGACCCTGCCACTTACTGGCTGTGTGACTTCGGCAGAAGTACTTTTCTGAACCTTGTCTGTGAAAGGGCTGTCAAGATGCCTGTCTTTAAGGGGCTCCTGGGAAGAGTCAGTGCGATGTGCGCCTCGAGGGCCTGGCACAGACTGGCCCTGGTCAGCAGTACCTGCTGTTTGCGGGCCCTGAGGCCTCTGCTGGCATGGTATGGGCCACCTCGTGCCGGCTCCAGCAAAGCCACTCTTCTCCCTCTTGCCCATGCTGCTTGGCTCCCTAGTTTTTACCCTAAAGTTAAGAAGGAATGCTTCCTTTGCGGGTGTGGCTAGAGGACCCATGCTTGGGGGGGAGCACAAGACATTGTGGTTGTTGGCAAGGCCCCCATCCCATCATTCTCCTCCCAGCTGGGTGCCAAGAAAGGCCTGGGGGCCCAGAAGGTGAGCAGCCAGAGCTTCAGTGAAATGGAGCGGCAGGCCCAGGTGGCAGAGAAGCTCCGTGAGCAGCAGGTGGCTGATGCCAAGAAGCAGGCCGAGGAGTCCTTGTGAGTGTTTGCCCCAGGGGCCCCGGTCATGTGGGGTTGGGTGGGCAGGTAGGACAGGTAGGATGGGAGCTGGACTCTGACATGTTTATTCCTTCAAGGGTTGCCTCTATGCGCCTGGCCTACCAGGAGCTCCAGATTGACCGTAAGAAGGAGGAAAAGAAGCTACAGAATCTGGAAGGGAAGAAGCGAGAACAGGCAGAGAGGTTGGGCATGGGCTTGGTGTCCCGCAGGTGAGGCTCAGCTCTGGGGTGTGGCGGGGAAATGCCATTGTTCTCCTGGGAGCCACTGCAAATTCTTCCCAGGAGTTTGGGTTTCCAGGCTCAGTCTTCCCCCAAGGCTGAAGATAGATGACTTTGCTAATTGTCTTAAAGTGCTTCGTATAGTGCTTGTCACAGAGTAGGTCTGTGCTCACTTTGTTTGTTAAATGAAAGAAACACAGGACTGGGTGCTTTTTCGACATACTTAAAAGGGTAGGGTGATGTTGCTTAAGACCTCCCTGAGAATGACAAGGCTCTTAGCATCCCTAATCCTTGTCCACTAAACGCCATTGCTGCCAGGTGTGCGAACACCCAGAAATGCCCCTAGACAGATGCCTTTTGGCATTGACAGTATCCTGCCGTTTCTGGACCACTGGGCTTATGTTGCTGTCGTTTTCTTAAAAACAAAACAAGGACTGCAAACATGCGTTTTGTTTGCTCTCCACTAAGCTTGCATCTAGAGATTTCAATAACACTAGACTTTTGATCTCTCTTAAAAACCAGAATATTGGACAGCACCAGGTCCCGGGGCTGCTGTCTGGTTTCCCAGTGAGAAGAGGCAGAGTTGGGCAGGTGGTACTGACTCCTGAGAACTTGCTTTCTCCCTGCGTCATGCTCCATGGAGGCATCTTAAGGATTAATTTCACTTACACTCGTTACAAAATATCTACAGCTTTTAGCTGGCAGAACCCTAAAGACTGACTGTTTTACAGTAGGGTTTTAAATAGGGTAGGGTGGGTTTAAGTTAAAGATTCTATTGCACCGCAAAAAAGAACAAACCAGCTGAAAAAATTGTTCAGACCCTTTAACCCAGTAATTCCTGTGACTGAAACAGGGAAAGGGAGAAGACCTAAAGTCCTTTCTGGGATTAAAATGTGGTGTTTCCCTGATTAGCTGTGGGTTACACAAGTAGTACACAGATGGAAATGGAGTTACTTAAATCCAGCCGGCACGTGGTTTGAAAAGATTAAGCAGAAATAGCCAGCCTTACCTTCTTTCAGAGAAGTAGATATCAGGCCAAAAATACTGAATTTGGAATCAATAGTTCTATGTTCAAAATCTAGTTGGGCCAATTAAGAGATCTGTGGACTTTAGGCAAGTTGAGTTGCTTGAAGTCCCTTTTTTCACCGGTAAAAAGACCTGGTAATACCTCCTGCGCAGGACTGCCGTGCTTAGTAAATCAGGCCCTTGCGGAGCTCACGAGTCCCCTGTAGCCAGGATTGCCGACCAGTATTCCGGTTTTTAGGAGAGATCAAAAGTCTAGAATTCCTCCTTTGATACCATTAGACTCCTTTTCTCGGTTCTGGGGCATTTTGCATCTTTTCCATGTGAACGTGTCCATCTTGGCAAAGGATGTGCCTCACGGTGCAGCCGGTCTGTTGAGTTGTTTTTAAGGACTGAGAGCACTACCGTCTGGTGCACGGCATTATTAAAATAACAGGCCAACGAGCAGTCCTTTGCCAGGGAAGCCCTGCTTTGAGAAGACAGGGCTGATGTGCGGACAGTTGAGGATGTGCTCCAGCTCCGCGGGGCCCCGAGCACTCCCTGCTCGGTCTGGCCCAGCCCGGGGAGAAGGCTCTGGGTGGTCCCAGTGAGAGAAGCCAGGGTCCTGCCGGCAGCGGGGTGTCTTCTCTCGACACCACTGCTCAGCGCTGCTCTCCGGTGGCTCTGCTTGTCTCCACAGCTCCGTCTCTCACTCGGTGCTGTCTGAGATGCAGGTGATCGAGCAGGAAACCCCCGTGAGTGCAAAATCCTCCCGCTCGCAGCTCGACTTGTTTGATGACGTTGGTACTTTCGCCTCTGGACCCCCAAAGTAAGGCTGTTGTTGGGGTGCAGACTTGGCCACCATGTTCCTCATCAAGCTTTTCTAAGTCACTCTACTGTCTCACCAGGTACAAGGACAACCCCTTCTCCTTGGGGGAAAGTTTCAGTTCCCGCTGGGATACGGATGCCGCCTGGGGTATGGACCGGATGGAGGAGAAGGAGCCAGAAGTGACCATCTCAAGCATCCGGCCTATTTCAGAAAGGTGGAGTGGGCTAGGGCAGCGCAGTCCAGCAGGATTTTCCTGTGATGGGAATGTTCTGTGTACCTGCTCTGTCTGGGGTGTCGTGGCCGCTAAGTCTGTGCCTCCTGAGCTCTTTACATGTGGCCGGTGCAGCTGAGGAACTGGGTTTTTAATTTAATCTTAATAAGTTTAGCCACATGTGGTTCGTGGATATCAGATTAGGTAGTGCGGGAATCAGACTTCGGTTTGAGCTGTGCTTTATCATCACAGAAGGCTTAGCAGCTTCTTTTGTTCAGGGTCTGTTTCTCTGGCAGGAGGGGCCTGATTTTATGCTTCAGTCCTGACCACCCGGGGGTTATGTGTCTCTGGTCACCACGTTATTTGTTATTTGTTTTTTGGTTTTTTTTAAGCTTATTTTATGTTAATCTGGGCAAGATTTAACTGATAAATGATCTGCACATCATTTGTAAAATGGGGACGTAAGTATTGACTTCACAGGGTCCCTGGAAGGATTAAATGTAAGCGACCCTTACAAAGCACCTAGGCCAGGGTTCACACATGTTGGCGGGAGGTAGGCGTGACCGGACACCTTTACATCCACACTGGGATGCTTTTGAGGGTGAAATGCCGGGAGAGTTGGCATAAACTCAGGCAGACACATATGGTCACCCTAGTGTTAGGCCAGTTGTCACTTGGAGGAGACTGGCGGTAGTGATGTTCTGACGTCCTAGACTTTGATGAAGCTGGAGGTTTGGGGCGGAAGACTAGTCCCCTCTAAACTGTATGTCCATGTGGCCTGGCGGAGGCACCGTTAGCTCTCTCGTGCCCGGGCTTCGGTGTGGAGAAGAGCGGGGCCTCGTCCAGGGGAGAGGGTCCATGGGTGCCAGGGCCACAGCCCCAGGAGGCCCCTGGCGCTGTTTGCAGCCTCTGTTAGTAATGGGACTAGTACTACTAGGCTCTCATAGGAATGGGAAGGATCAGAGGTATCCACATCCACCCACTCAGGGTCACAAACAGAAGAGAGGTGGAAAGCCGGAGCTCAGGCCTCGAGTCCAGTGAAGCACGCCAGAAATTTGCAGGAGCCAAAGCCATCTCATCGGACATGTTCTTTGGGCGGGAGGTGGATGCTGAGGTAAGTAGAGTTGTCCGTCCTGAGCCTGGAGGCCGCAGGTGGAGTGGGAGTTTCCTCCTTGCCACTGCTTTGGGCGTTAGCACCAGGGTGTCTCCGCAAGTAAGGAGTTTTTGAGTCTTTGGTGAAAAGATCCCCAGGCCTTCGTCTTTCTTCACTGCAGCATGAAGCCCGGTCTCGACTCCAGCAGCTCTCGGGTAGTAGCGCCATTAGCTCTTCGGACCTCTTCGGGGACGTGGATGGAGCTCATGGAGCAGGTAGGGCCACGGGGGTAAGGTGCACACTGGGCCCGGCCTGTGAGCAGGGCTGGAAGGTGCTGTGGGCTGAGGAGGGCTGCCCGCAGGGCTCTGAGCCCGCCTTTCCCTTGCTTTTACAGGTAGCGTATCGCTGGGCAACGTGCTCCCCACAGCTGACATTGCCCAGTTTAAGCAGGGTGTCAAGTCTGTGGCCGGGAAGATGGCCGTGCTGGCCAATGGTGTGATGAATTCTTTGCAGGTGAGCCTGGGGCTGTTTGGCCTGGGGCAGGTGGGTAAAGCAGTAGAAAGTAGTCCTTGGAGGATGGCCTTCACCACTTCCAGACACTGCTGCTGGCTGGCTCCTGAGCCCGAAAGAGAGCTTTTTCTTTCTCTGGAGGGGCAGCTTCTCTCCTTTGAGCTGGGCACCGGGGCAGGGCCGCTCCCTGGGACGATGCCCTGTCTGCACTGATTTCTCCAGCCTTGTCATCTTCCCTCTCTTTCTCCTTCCTCTCCAACTTCAAGACCAGGCAGGGCTTCCCCCTTGGGATCTGGCCACAGCCCCTTTCCTGAGTCGCCATAAAATCGAAAACTGTCTCTGGCGTCGTGAGATTGGAGCCCGAGTCCCCGGAGTACCCTAGTCCTGCAGGGGTGTGGTGGGGGATGCTGCTGCAGGTGAGAGACTTTGACTTTGTTTCTCCTTCCCCCATGTCCAGGATCGCTATGGCTCCTACTGATCCAGGCGCCGCGGCTCAAGCGTATGGTGGCAACAGCAGCAAAACCCCCACGATTCCAAGGCCACGGGCGCTTGCCTTGTGGAAGCTGGGGAGGAATTGTTACTTTTTATGTGTTGTGTGTGAGTGGGGTGGCCTTTGAGGATCTCGGGTGAGGGGGATGGGCGGTCCCAGCCTTGACCTCTGTCTGTAGACTGAGCCCTTTATTCTCCTTCCCTCACACCCCTGGCGCGTGTGCTGGACGCTGTCCTCCGATCCTGCCCCCCACGCTGCAGCTCGCTTGTCCGGCCACACTGGGTGCAGGGGGAGAGGGGGAGGAGTTCCCTCAGGCGGGCTTCTGCTGGGTCCAGCCCTTCCCCAAGGAGGGAAAGTGAGCCGTATAAGGCTTTTTTGCCAGCTCTGGGATCCTTCCAGGTTGTCTGGGGTTTGGCCCCCGTCCTCTGGAACCCGTGGGCATGTCTAGAAAGAGTTCTGCTGTGGACCAGCCCCCAGGGGGAGGGAGGCTCCGGACTCGCTGCAGTTATGGCTCCAGCGGCCTCTTCTGTGTGGTGGGGGACAGCGGGGGGAGGACCTTCGTCTGGGCCTTACTGAGGGCTAGAGACCTTCGCTGGTACCTAAAGGTTTCATTTGGGATCAGACTGGAGGCCCGAGTGATCTTCTCCTGTCTCACCGCCCCTTTTTACAGTGATCACTTGAGGGATACTTCTCCTGAGTGTCTCGGAGTCCTTCCATACCATCCATTGTGGAGCACAGGACCCTCTGTCCCTTCTTCCCCTGCTTGGTGGCCATGGTGGGTCTCATCTGCCCTATGCCCCGCTCTGGATGCTGTGAGCATAATGCTGTCCAAGGAAGCAGAGGACATGGGGGACAGAAACAGGCTCTTGGGGCTCAACTTTTTTCTTCTGTATCATCCTGGTCTTGGGGGGTGCCTAGACCTCACCCCCCCATCCCTCAGTGAGAGCTTGAGGCATGACAGAGCTGCAGGCCTCGCCCCCTGGCCACTGGGCCCTGCGCTGTCCTCGTGCCACCCCCCCGCCCCCGTGTCGCCAGTCTGGGCCCACCCTGCCCGCGGGGGGTTGGGGATTGGGCTCCCAAGCAACACAGACCATTCTTCCCTTGCCCCCTCCCCCAAAGGGACTTGACTTTCTTTCTGGACTGTTTGTATTGGAACAGTGGTGTCAAATAAAGCCTTGCCAGGGCAGTGGGCCGCTGTTGGTCTGAGTGAAGTAGTGTCCTTTCTGGATCCTGCCTCCCTGCCCAGTGCAGGCCCCTGGCCTCACTCTCTGGGCACCCACCGATACGGGTAGGGCGATGGTGCCGAAGCTGAGGGCACGCTCTCCCGGGCCTCCAGCTTGTCTCTTCTCTGAAAGCCAAAGGCCCCTGGCTCCTCGGCCCTGTGCTGCCGCGAGGTCCGGTGCAGCCTCGACCTCACCACCCTGTTGCACGCGGAGGAAAGAGCTGGTATTAGTTGGCCCTTTAACTCCTCCAGTGAGCAAGCCTAGCAGCCCCACGCCTCATCCCAGCAGGAGGCTTGACTGGGGTGTGTTTTTTCTCAGGGGAGTTTAAAGACAAATGAAATCTACAGCCTTAATGGAAGCCTTTTAAATCCAGGAAGAAAGGATGTATGTGTGTGTAGAACTCCCTAGCTTAGTAACCTTTTCCCCCAGTAGGGGCTCCTGGAATGTATCTGCCACCTTAGGGGTTCCTCAGGGTACAGGGGTAAATCACTGGTCTGGGAGATGCATGATTAGAAAGGACGGGCAAAGGGGCCATGGGGCTCTAAGCCATTGATACCTAAAGTGCGGGTCTGGGCCTTCCAGCTCTGGAATCATCTGGAGTGTTCATAATCCAGATTTCTGTGCCCCCGCCCCAAGCCAGACCTTGGTTACTTGTGTCGTAAACCAGCTCCCCAGGTGATTTGGATGCCCACCAGGATCTCCACGCTGCTGTCAATCAGCCAGAGGCTGGAGATGGTGGTGGGCCTGGGGAGTTCACAGGTCTTGGATCTTCGGTAGGACTGGAGCTTCCAGTCCCCACCTGGCTCTGCAGGGTTTTGGGAGCTAGTTCCTGAAACTATCTTGGGGTGGGTTGGGGTAGGGGCTGTGCTAGGCAGAGAGGAGCCCAGGAAAATGTGTGTGCCCAGGGTGGTGACCCCCACCTTAGGAGGCAGCCTGTTCTGCTTGGGTCCCTGGGTGGTTTTACTTTCTGGATGACCCCTGGCCAATTCAAGGTAGTTGAAGACCACCTGTCCTTACCTTCCTCCAGTCTTGGCTGGAAGCTTGTCTTCCTCAGGCCTGTCAGTCTCAGCTGTATCCCCATTGCCCCAACCCTGAGCAGGTGCTTAGCAAACATGTAATGAAACTCTGGCTAGAAGACTCCGCAGTGCTAACCCTTTGGGGCCAGGGTCTTTAGAGTTATGGGAACCTGGCCTTGACTCCTCTGAGCTTGTTTTCTGAAGGCCCATTCCAGCTGTGAGCACATTGGAAAGGCTGCTTGCTGTCCTGTGCAGGAGGGTCCCTCTTGGCTCGTTAATCTGAGGCTGGTCCCCTGGCCCCCACCTCCCAGCCCTGCCAGAAAAGCTGGGACTCGGCACCACAAACGCAAACTCACCCCTTCCCTTCACCCCCTCCTCAGTCTGGTGGCTTTAGATTCACCACTTACCAGATACAAGGGACTTTATTCATTTAACATACTGAACTGTTAGACACAGAGGGGACTCGAAACAGTTTTTGAAAGTGGACTTCTTGCCTACCCTTCATCCTATGATGCTCGTGGCTCTTCCTCCAGCCGAAGGCCACCGTGTTTAGGTCCGCCCTATACTTGCCCCACAGGTGTCACCCTTGACCATGCAGGCAAGGCCCTGCACGGTTATTCATGGTCTCCCCTTCCTCGAGTTGCTGTGAGGAGATCACCCTCATGTGGTGGGGACTGTCAGTGAAAGTCACCTTCCTGATGGCCTCTGCTCATTCTGCTGTCAGCTTGGGTCCTGACTAAAGTGCAGAGGCTGACAGGGCCAAGGAGAGTAGGCTGTTACTTCTCAGGGTCACTGCTGGACTTGGCTGATGACACCGGAACCCCGCTGGCTGGTCTTTGGGCTTGGGCTGTTATTCAGGCTTTTCACCAGCAGAGGGCAGCATGGCACAGGAGTGGGGGAGGAGGTTGGGTGGGAGTCCCAAGGGCTGGGTGGGAGCTGGATACACGGGCGTGGTGGACAGGACCCTTCAGACTCCTCAAGTCTCGGACTCGTCCGTCTCTTCAGTGGAACCATCGCTCTCTGCATCCACCTTGCGGGCGTGATGGAGGGGTCTCCAGGGAGAGCCAACCCGGGGAGGGGTCCGGGAAGGCAGGCAGCCGGCCTCTGGATTGGCAGGGGCCGAGTTGACCAGGCCTGGGACCTGGGCCAGCCTGAAGGAGGGAAGAAGCCCAGAGGGTAGCGAGGTGCCTCCTGTCTACAGACCAGGACTTCCACGTTCACTCTTGCATTTGGATGAAACCATGGGCTATATTCCCCAAGGACTCAAAGAGAGGCTACCTCAAGCCTCTGCTGGAGCCCAAACCCTGCCCTGACTGACGGGGGTGTCGCGGAGAATCGCTGTGTGGCCCACAATAGGGCACTGCCATGTCCAAGGGACGTATGGCCTTCCCCACGAGGGGGCAGCATCTTCCCACCTGACACTTACAGCCGTTCCAGCTCCTCATCCATGGCTGGGTCGTGCATCAGGTCCCCTTTGTCAGGCAAAGCTCCTACAAGATAATTGGGGGGCACAATCTGAGTGTCTTTTAGGCAGGCTCCAGTCAGCCACATTCCCAGGAGATGCCTCCGTGTCCCTCACCTTCATGTCTACCTGCTCTGCTGACCCTGGGAGGGCTCATCTGAGATTTGAGAAGAGCTCTTTCTAAAGAAAATTTTTTTTGAATTTGAGTACAGTGGACACGCAATGTTACATTAGTTTCAGGGGTACAACAAGGTGGTTTGCTATCTCTCTATGTTTGCCGTGCTCACCACAGTGTGGCTACCATCTGTCACGCACACATTATTACAATGTCACTGATGATCTCCATGCCGTACCTTTTATTCCCATGCCTTGTTCACGGGGAAGAGCTCTTAAGAGAAGTTTTAGGAGGACTGTTACGGGGGCAGGAAGTTGTGGCTACTGCTAGATTAACTTGGTGAAGCCATGCCTCCCCTCTGCAGCTTGGGGTAGGAACCACAGCTATGAGACGTCCTCACACTCAAGGTCACTGCACACACAGGACGATCCCCTTCCAAGACTGGGTGGTGGGTTGCGGGCTGGTGCGGGGGGTTCGGTTCCTTCCTTGAGGCCCCCAGGTCATGGGAGCCAGAGACAGAGTGTGTCCAGCTAATCCCCGAGTCAGAAATTACCCAGTTTTGTGCCCCCCAAATCAGAGGGAGCCCACTTTGGAGACAATATGGTCAAAAATGCTGCCTCGGAGGGCGCCTGGGTGGCTCAGTTGGTTGAGCGACTGCCTTCGGCTCAGGTCATGATCCTGGAGTCCCGGGATCGAGTCCCGCATCGGGCTCCCTGCTCGGCAGGGAGTCTGCTTCTCCCTCTGACCCTCCTCCCTCTCATGCTCTCTGTCTCTCATTCTCTCTGTCTCAAATAAATAAATAAAATCTTAAAAAAAAAAAAAAATGCTGCCTCGGCTCCTCAGAGACTCTCTGAGGGGCGAGAAGAGCAGGCTGGGCACCTTCCGCGGGGCCAGGAGCCGCCGGGCCGGGAGCCACCTCATCTGCTCGGTCACAGCTCTCTCTGAGCTGGATTCCTCAGCTACAAACCGAAGGGAGTGATGCTTCGCTGCTGGGGAAAGGTGAGAGGAGACAGTCTTGGATTCTCCCTGGAGCTGTGAACAGTGGAGGGAAGGTGGAGCTGAAGTCTGCAGACAGAAGACTTCTCACCAATAGATTGTTGAGGGAAAAAGCTCACTGGTGGTCAGAATGTAGATCTGGCAGCTAGCAATCCTGGTCTCCAGAAAGCCTCAATCTTAAACTTACCCATCTGGCTCTAGTTCAAGTCCCTACTTTTCCAAAGCTTTTTCAGATGATGTCCCCTGGCCCCTTTTGCTCTTAGTGGTTTTCAAGCTATGTTCCACAGAGCCCTCTCATTTTGTGTGCAGGAGCGTGTGGGTGTGAGTGCCTTGAGAACTAAGGGAACAGGACAACCCGTCCCCACAACTGGCTGCTCCCCGAGTAGCTCCAGATCTCTATTTCATACACTGGAGATGCGGGTGAGGGCGGATGCTTCTCTCCATCTCCTGCTCGACCCAGCAGTAGTGCTTGTTAAAAGTGGCTGACGGAGTGATTGCCCTTTTTAAAGGCCCTAGAAAAAGTGAGGTCATGACGTTGTCCAGGCTCTGATCCCATGCTAGTTAGCTTTTCCTTTTCCTTCCTGTGGGCTGATTGGTGGAAAGGAAGGGAGGGCGGTGAGTTACCCAGGTGTGAAAGGAAACCTAAGCAAGTCCCCACCCGCTGCCCCCTTACTCCTGACTTCTGACTCCTATTTGCCTTTCTACTCTGGTCCAGCCAGAGACCTTGGCGACCGGCATCACTTAGTTGAAGGGGTCCCTAGACCTGTGCACACCCCAGAGCATCAATTCAGAATAAGGAGGCTGCTAGGCAGCATCGTGCCTCAGTGGGCCTCAGTCAGTCCTGTTGGGGCTTGCGCTCCTGTGTGCATCCCCAGCAGCCTTTATATTTTGAAAGATCTAAAGCAACTTGGCCTACTATGGTTGGCATTTAAAGAATATTAAATTTCCTTCCCTTGACCCCCTTCTCTCAACTGGCAGAAGGAAGGGGAAGGCTATGTGTTCTTTGGGACTCAGGAACCTAGGGCCTCAAGCACACCTGGACACCTCTGAAAGACAGACAAATAACCCCTCCAGCTCTGTGGACGGTGGCCTGGTGGCTCTTCCCTTGGGAGAGCAGCAGGTGGGAGAGGGAGAAGAGCGGGGTGGGTGGAGAAGGCCAACCAGTAGGAAGAAACGACAGACAGGAAAAACTGGGCCAGTGCAGGCCTCTCCCCCCATTTTTTGCTCCTTTTCAGATTAATCAGTTTTCTTTTTCTTTCCCCAGCTGGGAAAAAAGGCCTCCTCAGACACACCTTTGCCCTGCTTACAAATGGGAATCAGGTCTCTTTGATATATAATCTCCAAAGCCACTGAGTAACTAGCCCTGTGTCTGCCCAGCCTGCAGGCC